GGCTTGGAGGCATAGGAGTTCGCCGTTCAGGACTGGTCGTTCGGCATATAGACTTCCAGATCGGCGAAACATCGATTTACGAGTTTACCAATTCCCAAAGTTAATTGCCTTAGGTCCAAAATAGTGTTTAGGGTATAGCATTCGGAGCCTGAAAACTTTCTGGTGTCCACAATCACTTGACCAATGGTCTAAATGTGTATTGGGGTCTAGCCACAGAATGGTAGCTAAAACTCCTCGTATCTCGCAAAAATGCTCTTGTCATAATCCACCGCTTCACGGAACCTCCAAGAACCTCCAGGGCCTTCCAGGGCCTCCAGGGGCCTCCAGCGGGCTCCAGGGCCTCCAGGAGGCCCAGGAACCTCCAGGGCCTCCAAAAACTCCAAATTTTGTTTTGAACGAAAAATGCGCCGCGCCGCGTACTGCCAAAGCCTCGAACCTTGGGTGAGGCTGAAATTTCATGCGGGATGGTCAGGCTGGACTAGGCCACCCACCATGGCGGGGGGGGTGGGGGGTGGCCAGCAACGGTGGAGTAGAGGGATCTGAACGCCCTGACTCTGGATGCCTCGGCGAATATGGAACCAAACCGATGATGGAAGCCATTGTGCTCGAGCCGCTAATTCAGTGGCATTTGACAGAAATTCTGACCCTCTTCCAAACTATATCGTGACACCTAATTCTGTTTTCTGGTATGCAGACAGTAGTCTTTGTAGGACCCGTTTAGGGGTTCCATGTTAGTTCGAACAGGTGTAGGCACGGGGCGTCGCTTATGTCTGACGCAGCTTGTCTCCAGGTCAGCTGAAGAGCGCGAGAAGCGACTCGGGCGGGCATCCCAGGCGCCGCTGCTCTGACACTGCATGTTGCGCGCTTTCAAGGCTTCGGGCGAAGAAGTCCTTGCCATCGCTGGTGCGGACTTGGCCATGGAGGAACAGCCCGTCCGGGTACTTGCCATCAAGCGCCATTTGCAGCGCCTCATTGGGCAGCCGCGATTCAAGCAGCGGCTAGTGCTTTCAGATGGACAGATGTTGGCGGACGATGTGGTGCTTCAGGGCCCCATGGATCTCCAGCTCATATTGCGGCCGTTTGAAGCAAGCTCCCCGGACCAAATCAGGCATCTCCAGGTGATTGCCAGCCACAACCATCTCCCTACGATGGAGCAGCTTTTGCAACGGCCGCAAGATCCGGACTTGGAAGATACAAATGCGCGGGTTGCTCTGCATGTCGCTTGTGGCCATGGATTCGCTGGAGCTGTGCATTTGCTGCTGGAGGCCAACGCTGACACCGACAAGGCTGATGCTAATGGCGCAACTCCGCTGTTCATAGCTTCGCGTCAAGGCCGCTTGGAAGTCGTTCGCCTGTTGCTGGAAGCCAGCGCGGACAAGGACAAGTCCAGGAATGATGACGCTACTCCGCTGTTCATGGCTTCGCAATTTGGCCATTTGGAGGTCGTTCGCCTGTTGCTGCAGGCACGCGCTGACAAGGACAAGGCCACCAATCGTGGCGCAACTCCGCTGTTCATAGCCGCGGAAGAAGGCGACTTGGACGTGGTTCGCCTGTTGCTCGAGGCCAGCGCTGACAAGGACAAGGCTGCTAATGGTGGCGAGACACCGCTGTACATAGCCTCGGAAGAAGGCCACTTGGGCATAGTTCGCCTGTTATTGGAGGCCAATGCTGACAAGGACAAGGCGACCGATCGTGGCGCTACTCCAATCGACATTGCTCAGAGCAGTGGCTGTACGGAAATCGTTCGGCTGCTGTCACAGGCCACGACAGGCACGATGTCAGGGTCAACACTGAAGCGGCCGCGTACTGAGTGAGAATGCTAAATTCTGCAACCAGCCATTGCCGGCGTCCTCTCGTTGATTGTTGCGTGCAGGATATGTCATTTCTCATGCAACGTCCAGGCATGGACCCAAAAGCACACTTGCTGGCCTTGAGCAAGCCAACATAGCTCTCGTGCCGCAAGTAGCCTGCAAAGTAGTATTGCAGTGTCGCTTCCAATCTATCATATTTTTGGCGACCGTGCTCACCTACGAAACGATTCAAATTATGAAGGTTCCTGCCAGGGTTTTACACCCATGACCATATGGGAGGTAATGATCCTTGCACCCACTTTCCATCAGGATGGTTTCCTTATGATTTTCCGTTGCTTCTCGTACCCAACAGAGATGTTTGGAAGGTCCAGGCTTAAGCCCTAAATCCTAATCCCTGAACTTTATAGACCCTATAACCCGTATGAACCCTATAAAGCCTATGAACCTCAGATATAATCCTAAAACCTGATAAACACCATAAACCTTATAAACCCTGTAAACCTTCTAAACCCCATAAGCCTTATACACCCTAAGCCCCTCACCATGCCAACCTGTTAGCTTCAGGGCTCTCGACTCAGTGAGTTTATGGGAGCTGTAGTCTAAACTCCTTGAAGGGGGGTTATATAGGGGACTTTTCTAGATTCTAGGGTGGTACCAGGAGTTTAGACTATAGCTCATGGGACATCTGAAGCCCACTTTCTCATGGCTTTCACGCGGATCCCATATTATGTACAGGGGTAGGTTGCAACAGATTTCCAATCTTGGCTATATACCCTTAATTTCTATACAGCGATAACCATGTCATTTTGAGAGCCCCAAACCTATAGTCCTCCTAGAGTCGATAGAATATGGCTTCGGGTATGTTATAATAATATCCCCACATACCCCATATTCTATCTACTTAAGGGGGGCTATACCCTAGTAAAGGCAATCCTATAAACCGAACCACAACATGAAGCTCAAAACCTAAACCCTACGGCCAACCGTATCGGGACCTTCACGCCTAAGCTTGAACTTCACCCTTGCTGTCAAGATGAGGGTTACCAAGTGACCTGTAAAGATGGGCATACTAGGGTTTACCTTAAACCCAAGAGGACTTTCAGTGTTAGGGCCCTATAGCATAATTCTTTACATGAAGTCCTAAAACTAAAGGTCTTTGGGGTCTAAGATAGGGTTTTGGACGTAGGGGTCCCATTGGTAGTTTTTTTTTATGGCACCTAATCGAAAACCTTGAAGAGGAACATAAGGACATATTGACTGAAACTGTCATACATCCCCACCCGAAAAGGCCTTGCCTGAAGCCTGAGCCCTAAACTCTAAAACCCTAGGCCCTAAACCCTAAAAAGCCTTAGCCCCACAACCCAATTCTTCAACCTTGAGCCAAGGCCTTAAATACCACAATCCTAAACCACAAACCTGTAGACGGCTAAACCCCATGACTCTACACCTCACAGCCCTAAGCCCTGAAGTAATTACATATATATATATATATACATACATATACACACCTATTTCTATACACAGCTTTATACCCCTACATCACACCCCCAACAAGACTCCGCCCGCATTCAGCCAAATGGTCCGGGTATTCAAGGTTCGTGTGTTTACCCCAAATTCCGTTCTGCCGATACTAGTACCTGAATCCCAATTACCCAAAACCCAAATCCAAGCCTAAACCTCTAAATCCTCAATCCAACATTACCCCGTTAAATCCCCTTCAATGCCCTTGAAACCTCTGTTGCTAGGTACTGGGACCTCAACCCTAAACCTGATGAACCCTAGCCCTAAGCGCTGAACCCTAAACCCTATACACCCTAGACCCTGAACGCTAAACCTGAAAATGCAAACCCTAAACCCTAAAAACCCTAAACCCGAAAAGCAAAACTAAAAACCCTACACCCTAAAGACCCTACAACCTAAATTCGGCACTGGGATCCTAAGGTACTGACCCCGCAGCAGCTAGACTCTCTCGCGAGGGCAGCCCTGGATCAGAGGTTGCGGGATTGCTAATAAAGTTTTAAAGTGGCTTAGGGTTGGGTTTTGGATTTAGAGTTTTAGGGCTTAGAATTTAGGGTTTAAGGTTTGGGGGGACGACGGTTTAGGGTTTAGGGTAGGTTCAGGACTTAGGGTTTAGGGTGTAGACGTGGATGATCTACGGGGGGTATATAGGGGTTCTATAGGGATCATGAGCATTACGGAGGGTTTGAGGGTTTAGGGTCTTGAGCTTAGGAAAGAGGATTTCGGTAGTAGGGTTGAGGATTTCGGGTTTAGAGCTTGTGGGAGGATTTGGGGTAAAAGGGTTCACGGAAGAGACATTGGTGGTCTTAAGCAGCCCTCTGCAGCACCCAATATGTCAAACTTGCGATTAGGGTTTAGGGTTTAGGCTCTATATACTGGAGACCATATTCAATAGCCCTAAACCCTAAACCCTCGATATACTATATTCATTATTGTGGGGTAGGGAGGGGTGTTTACTAGGAGGCAGAGGTGACGATTTGCTTCAGGGCTTGGGATTAGAGGTTTAGGGCTTGGGTCTTTGGGGTTAGGGGTTTATGGTCCAACCCTAAACCTAAACCCTCACCCTAAACCCGAAACCCCAAGCCCCCAGCCCTCTTCCCCAAACCCCAAGCCCTAAACCCTAAACCCCAAATCCTGAACCCTAAGCCCCAAATCCTAAACCCCAAACCCTAACCCCCACATCCTAAACCCCAAATGCCAAGCCAGGTTGGTTCAGTGCACGGCTCCTCGGCGGGCTTAGGGCTTGGGATTTAGGATTACTGGCTTACCTTTGGGGCTTATTTAGCCTTACTGGGGGTATATTGGGGGATAATGGAAAAGTGCATGGAAACTGTTATAATTGGGGTTTTGTTGGGTTTAGAGTTTGAGGCTTAGGCCCCTAAACCCTAAATCCTAAACCCTGCAAGGGCTAGGGATGAAAGAATGGAACAGAAAATGGAAACTACAGGGGTTTAGGGGTTTTATAGGGGTTATATAGGGATTATAGGGTATATTTATTGGGCTTATTCAGGGATAAGGGAAAAGAACATGGAAACTACTATCATGGGTTCTATAGGGACTACTAGAAGGATTCATTCCCTCATTCCTAGCTAACCATAGGTAAGCATACCCTAAACCCTAAAACCCTAAACCCTAAAACCCTAAAACCCAAAACCCTAAAACCCTAAACCCCTTCATTCCTAGCTAACCGAAGGTGAGCTGAGGTTCAGGAATGGTTTTGGTGGGTTTCGGGTGTAGGGGGGAACTGGAATTTGGGCATTTTGAAGACTTCGTGTTTGGTGGTTTAGGGTTTTAGGGATTGGGGTTTAGGGTTTTCTTGTTTGGCGGGTTGGGTTTCAGGATTTGGCGTGCAAGGTCCACGGTTTTGACTCTTCAGAGGTTCACTGTTGTAGGCTGTCAAAAGTCAGGGTCCTATTCATTGGACAGGTACGTGACTTGGAGTCCAGGGCTTTGTGTTTCGGGTTGAGGGCTGTACACGAAGTCCTTTTTTCTTCAGGGTGGGAGTCTCTTTCTAAGAAGCCCCGTAAAACTTCTTTAGCGGCATCCCGCCTGTATTTTTTTTTCTAAGCCAACGGTCTGTATGGGTCCCCCAACTCGAAACCCAAATTACACCTTGTCCAAACCCGATGCCACAATCACTAAGTCAAAAACGTGAGACTCTAAACCTGGGTCCCGGTTCCTCAAGCCTTTAAACTCAAAACCCTCAACAGGAGTAGGTTTGCTATTTTACACCCTAAACCCTATAATCCTATAACCGCTAAAGCCTTAGCCCTAATTTCCTCCTGCCTTCGTCCATCCTAAGGCGTTGTGCCTGCGGGGAGTTCTGGAAACCAGGCCCATGATGGGTGGAACAGGCGGGCAGAAGGTTTAGTGTTTTGGGTTTAGGGTATGCTTACCTATGGTTAGCTAGGAATGAGGGAAGGGATCCTTTGAGTAGTCCCAATCTAACCCATTATAGTAGTTTCCTTTTTCTTTTCCATTCCTTCATTCCCAGCCAACCAAAGTTAGTCTAGGGGTTTCTAGGGCTGAAGGCTTAGGATTCAGGGCTCGGGCTGCAGGATCAGGATTTGCCGTTTGGAATTTAGGTGTTGGGGTTCATGGCATTTGTTTTTTTTGAACAGGGTTGATTCTCAAGGAATTCGGGGTTTCTATTCTGGACAGACGCAGTTCAGGGATGCAATGAGTCATTAACAGGTACCTGTAGGTGATCATGATGGCCCCAAGTGCTCAACCCCAAACTTTTCAAACGGATTTCAGGGTTTCAAAGTGGTGCAATGCAATTTGAGATCTTCTCTTGGGTTTAGGGCTTAGGGTTCAGGGTTTAAGGCTTAGGGAACTATAGCACAGCCAGGTGTAAGCGTACTTTTCTGACAAGCCAAACCTAGTTTCCGCCCACGCCCTAAGTTCAGCCCGGATGCAGAAACAGCCTCTCTCAAAGTTGATCGCGATTGTATTGTCAAGCCCTGTGTCCTGAAACCCAAACCTTGATCCTAAAGCCCTAAACCCTAAACTCCATAAAGCCAAAACCATGAAGCCCTAAACTTTACATCATACACGTTTATATTTACACCTTCATATGAGCTATATAGTCTAAACCCCTAGTATCCCCCTTAATACCCCCTACCATACCCCCCCCTATATACTCCCGTATATGACCCTCTTTAAGGAGTTTAGACCCTAAACCTTAAACCCTAAATCCAGAACCCTAACCCCTCAGCCCTACACCCTATATAACCCCCTTTAAGGAGTTTAGACAATGGCTCATATCATTCCCCTAGACTCCCACATATTCCCACATAGCTGCGCGCAGAAGCCCGGCGAGATTCGGACGCGCTGGTGGCCCTGGTGTCACAGATGCTCGGTTGTGGTTAAGGAACTTCAGGGAAGTTACCCTAAGTCCTATACACTATGCACCCAGATTATGGTGACTTAAGCCTTAAGCCCCCTGCATACGCATATTATGGTACCTTCAACCTTAACACCTCAACCCCATATACCCATATCGTTTGAACTTACTTTGAGTTCCTAACCCTAAACCCTGAACCCTATATACCCATGTATATATATATACACACCCATGCAATGGTAACTTAATTTAGGTTCCACCCTAAACCCCTAAACCCTAATCCCTAAATCCTAAACCCTAAACCCTACACCCTAATCCCTAAATCCTAAACCCTAAACCCTACACCCTAATCCCTACATCCTAAACCCTACACCCTAATCCCTACATCCTAAACCCTAAACCCTAGACCCTACACTCTTAGTTTAAGTCCCTTAATAACAGCAACCCAAGGATGACGCAGCTCACATCCCTGGACCTCTCGGGCATCTTGGGCTAGCCTAAGGTCGAACGGCTTTTTTGGGAAGGTAGGGTTTAGGACTTAGGGTTTTAGGGTTTTAGGGTTTTAGGGTTAAGGATTTAGGGATTAGGGTTTTAGGGTTTTAGGGGTTTGGGGCTTTAGGGTTTAGGGTTTAGGGCTTTAGGAGTTTTAGGGGTGTTAGGGGATTGCATACACCCAGGGAGCCCAACACCCCTTAGTGAAGGAATGTAGCTGAAATCAGATTAGGGATCCTAGTAGCCTTTCGGGTATAGTCCTTAATTGAGGGGCATTGGGCTCTCTGGAAACATGTGTTTCTGTCGGGGCCCCAGGAATAATTCAGGGAATATGAAGGGTTTGGGGTTTGAGGCTTTGGTTTAGAAGAGTTGGCGTTTACGGTTTAGGGCGCATTTTTTTTGGGTTTCTGGGTACGGCCAGCTAGTAATTACCTGGACCCTTCAGGGCCACGCTTCAAGTGGCTCAAACAGGGGAACTCTTAGCTGCCCTAAACCTTACCCACCCTGGCCGATTCTAGGTCCTAAGGCCTATCAAGGCTTGAAAGCCTTAAGTCCTAAACGCTTAAATCTTAAGCTCCTGAATCCTAAGCCATAAACCCCAAATCCCTAACCCCTGAACCCTAAAGCATCGATACATCATTCGGAATCATTGGCAGGTGGAGGGGCCTTCAGCAATTATCGGGCGAGATAATCATGACAACGCCTTGTGACCTTACCCCAAATAAGCCTCTTAGTAAACAAGCCCGAAACCCCAACCCCTAAACAGATCCCAACATGGCCTCAATTGTTCAGGGTTTAGACTTTAGCGTTTAGGGTTTAAGCTTCAGAGTTCTTCTAGTTTAGACAGAACCCTTGGTCGCGATTCTCAAATCGCAATCTGAAACAGTCATGTCTTCGCGGCTCGAATCATTTTTCACGAACGCGTTTAAGAAAACATCGGTGATATGACATAGGCTGCCTGACTGAAACCACTGAGGCCAATCAATCTCTTTCATCCAACTTACTCTTGACGCCTGTGAACATTACAACCTCAAAGCTTAACCCCCAAAACTTAGTACCCTTAGTAGTAAACCATGAAACTATACGCAAGATAGGAGCCGACATCTCACTGAGATTGAACCGATGACATACTGTGAAGTTTCATTAAGCCTCACAAGCCAAAGAAAAAGCGAGCTCAAAATTGTGAATCCACGTTAGGTGTGTTCCCCTTTGTTATGCTATCCCGAGTGATGCCAGCGGGATATGCACAAAATTGCCCCAATGACTGTCAGGGCCCGTAGGGCTCGGCAATATTCCTATCAGAGCTCTCAAGTGCTACCGCAAACCCTAAACCAGTAGGCCATATTCAACTCAGTTTTCGAACTTCTTACGGGCGCCGTAGTACCACCAGTTTCCGAAAGCTCCGGCAACTTCCTACGCCCACACTCTTGATCCCTAATTTCTGTACCTCACTTGCTAACCGCCTAGCCTTAAAACCTCAGTTGAGTTATATCAGGCCGCAAGTCCCTAAACCCTAATTCATTGGAGCTACACCTATACAATCCCAGCTTCCATTTCATTTTCCATTGTCTTTCCATTGGATTTTGCACTGCTTATTCGGGAATTGTTGACTGCAGGTCCGGTGGCTGGCCAAGACACTTCCAGCCCTAAACCCTAGGCCCTAAGCCCGCAACCCTAAACCCTAAATCCTAAGCCCTTAATGGTCCCTTGGTAGCCCTAAGATCTCCCTTAACCCTAAACCCCTAAACCCTAAACCCCTAAACCCTAAACCTTCCCTAAATCCTAAACCATAAAGCCCGAAACTCTAAACCCTAGACCCCTAAACCCTAAACCCGAAGCCCCTCAACCCTGAACCCTAAACCCTAAACCCCTAAACCCCCTTAAACCCTACTAAGTCCACACTTAGGGAACCGCCTCGGCTATGCCAACTGCCGTATCGACTCTTGGTTGCGTGTTGAATACCCGAAAAAACTAAAGGGTTAAGGGTTTAGGGTTTAAGGTTTAAGGTTTAGGGTTCCTAAGGGTCCAAGGACCTAAATAACAGGGCTTTAGGACTCAAATACCATTAATAGAAAAGTATTTGGTCCCTAAAACCCTAGTATTTGGGTCCTTGGACCCTTAGGGTATATTTTTTAGTTCCAGGGTTTCGGGTGGAGGGGCTTTGGGTTTAGGAGCTTAGGGTTTGTTATCCCTTCCCCTTTATCTCTTTGGGGTTTATGGTTTCAAACTTTACGGTTGGGGTTTAAAGTTTAGAATCTGGGGCTTAGGTGTTCCTCTGACTTTCGGGTTCAGGGTTTAAACTGTAGGATTTAGGATTTAGGTTTTCAAGTTTAGGGTGTAGGGTACCACCCCTATTCCCATGATAGCAAACTGTATCACATTGGGATTGTCTGTCATGAACAAGGCGGGGGTGGCCATTCAGGGTTAGAGAGAGGGGATTAAGTACAGTATCTGTATGCGTGTACCTAATGCGGTAGGTTGTGAACTTGATGGTCCTTTCTTGGGCTTCCTGTGACAGTGTGGAGGTGCATGGCACCTGAGAAGATCCTTTAATTGTTGTTCTGACCTTACTTCTGATCTGGGTAAGCTTCATTAGGGTAGTTGTGAGTAGAGTAATTAAGCCCAGCGATAAGTAGCTACCAATTCCCATGAAACTTCCATGAGAATAACATGTCCAAACAACAAAGGAGCACCCTAAACCCTACTCCCGAATAGATGGAATAGGTGTCCATTCTTAGCAGACCGTAGTTCCTATTAGGCTTACTAAGGAACCCTGAATAGCAGACGTTGGGGTCCCCCTTTGTATTTTCGTATAATGCGTAATAATGTGCTATCTGCAAACTGCCGGAGGCATACCCTACGCCCAAACAGTCTATTCCAAAGTCCAACTCCTCTGTGGCTTTTGAGTCTAGGGCCCATTCCAAAATACCCCTGACGACACCCAGGCTGAGTTGGCACATGGTCTTTTCGGGACTGTAGAAGGCTAGGTTAACTGCATTGTTCTCCACATTTCTTACTTGTCAGAGGGGCAAGCCGCGTGCCGCAAGACTCCAGTAAAGCTCACACTCACTTTTTTGCTGGCCCAATTAGACATATTGGTCTCTTCACGGCCGAAAGGTGCACCGCCCCAGACCCGAAGCCCCAAAGCCCTAGAACGTCAAACCCACAGAGCCTCAACCCTCCACTCCGGGCCTTCTCCATGCCCTTGACCTCTGCCACCTGTCTCCAACTTGGTCTCAAACTAAAAGGAAAAAGCGACCCTAAGAAGGAACCCATGTCCATTAAACTATGTAGGAAACACTGGCTGCAGCTCAAATTCCATATAAAGCACCCTAAACCCTTCAACCCTTGACCTCAAACCGAAAACTCTCAGCCTAAAGTCTAAACCTTGAAGGGACCCTGACGTGGTTCGAGGGCTTAGGATTTAGGGTGCACCTGGACCCCAAAAGTAGGTAATATGATAGCCCAAAACCCCTTAAAACAGCCCAAAGGGCCATTATTCTACATACCTTTGGGGTCTAGGCAGGGCTGGGCCCAAAGGGCCATTATTCTACATACCTTTGGGGTCTAGGTAGGGCTAGGGGTTTAGGATTTAGGCTAGGGTTTAGGCTTTAGGGAAGACTGCCAAAGGACTCGCTGGCTGGTGCTCTGCCAAAACTTCAGAAGCTGACAAATCTGAATCTGCCCCACGGCCTCAGATGAGCTGTAGTCTAAACTCCTTAAAGGGGTTATATAGGGGATAATATAGGGGACTACTATAGGGCTTATTAAGGGGGCTACTAGGAGTTTAGACTATAGCTCAGATGAGCTATAGTCTAAACTCTTTAAAGGGTAGTCTAAACCTTAAACCCTAAACCCTAAACTCCCTAAAGGGATTATATATTGGATTCATGGGTGTTCCAGATGCATACGAGGCACAGGGCTGATGTTGATATCTTGTAAGGTTTATGGTTTAGGGCTTGGTGTGTAACCGTGTGCGCGCTGTGCGTGCGCCATTTCTTTACAGTTAGGGGGCGCACACACTATCGCGCGCTAGCGTAGCTNNNCCCAAACTATTCTCGATTAGGGTTTTTGGTTCCCACCCCCAAACCCCCTAGCAAGGGGGGCTTACTTATCCGTCATTTGTGTATTTATGGAGAGACGTATATGGATTTCGAGGCGCCGCTCGATTAAACGTTTTGACCCTGGGCACAGGGTCCAGGAATCCCGCCGCGGCCGGGGGGTCCGAAGGGCCAGGGGGCCCCCTGACAACCCTTGACGAAACACTTCGCCCCCTCAATCATGGGGTCTTCCTGTTTTCCTGGATCTATACACCTCCTCTTCGTAAAAAGCGGGGTTTGCCAGGTCTTCCACACCCTGCCTCATTGTATTTGTCAAGACGCCCGGGCGGGGGCCCTCGGTGCGTGCGGCTCGAGCGCGCATGTACATGGTCAGCCGCGCCCTCGCCAGCTTGGGCTTCAGGGTTTACGGTTTAGAGATCTAACTTATGAGATAACACCATAGTTCCCGAGGTATAGCATGCTCAGGGTCATGCAGGATTTGCAGTATCAACCATAAGGGTCATTTTTCTTGATGAAGCTTCATTTGCAGGTCCCCAGGTCATACCCTAGACCCCTAAGACCCTGAACCCCTGAAACCCTAAAACCGCGAACCCTAAACCCTGAACCCCTACACCCCTAAAACCCTAAACCCCTAAAACCCCAAATCCCTAAACCCCTAAAACCCTAAACCCCTAAGCCCTAAACCACTAAAACATTAAAACCCCTAAAACCCTAAACCACTGAAACCCCAAACCCCCAAATCCCTAAACCCCTAAACCCTAAAACCCTAAAAACAAAATCATGAAGCTCTAAACCCCTAGAGCCCTAAACCCCTAAAGCCCCAAACCCCTAACACCCAAAACCCAAAAACCCAAAACCCCTAAAACCCTAAACGCATGAAATTCAAAATCCAACCATTCGCCCATCATTCAAAGTCTTCGATACACGCCCATGATGACCGCCACGCGCATGGAGATGCCGATGGACAACTGCTTGTTCCATGCCGTGAGCTTCCTGACCGATGGCGCCGCCATCTACCTTTCTCCGAGCGATAATTTCATGTCTGGCTGCAGACATTCAGTAGGAGCCTGTGTGCAATCATCTCCCTTCCACCAAAAGAAGACCCTCGCCTAAACCCAACTATTAGCCGGCAGGCCCGTTGCTGCGAGCATCATTGGGTGATAGAACACAGTTGTGACTTTGGGTTTACGAAGATTTAGAGATTTCAGGGCTTCGGGCTTGGGGAGTTTAAGATTTAGAATTTAGGGACATTAGGGTTTGGGGAGTTTAGGATTTAGGGTTCAGGTAGTTTAGGTGTTGCGGAGTTTAGGATTTAAGGTTCAGGGAGTTTAGGTGTTGGGGAGTTTGGGTTTTAGGGAGTTTAGGTTTTGTGGTTTAGGAGTTTAGGTTTCAGGGTTTAGGGAGTTTAGGTAGTTTAGGGTTAAGGGCTATTACAGACGGACCTCGACGTGGGTGTTTCTCAAAGCTGGCCTGAGGACCGGCTTCATAATTCCCTCAGAATCCCGGTGCATCCCCACATTTCCTAAAGGCACCTTTTTTGCATTGGGATCCTTTTCAGACCTCTTGTATTAGGGTCCTTGAGAGTCCTCCAAGTAGAGGTCAGCTTGGAGGGGGGCTTCGCTGCAACCTCCCTAAAGTTTTAAACCTTCTAATGCAAGGGCCGAAAATAGTCACCATTCGTAAGCACGTAAGCACGTAAGCACTTGAAGCTTTAGGGCTTATATAGGCATAGTCACAAACAATATGGGTCTAGATTCCCTGTAGAATTGTGGCATAGGGTACTTCGAACCGAACTCAAAACGAGGTTTATAAATCATCTAGAAGGATCCTTGCAAGCCAGGGCTTAGGTGTTAGGGTTTAGGGATAAGGGGCTAAGTTTCAATTTCATTGTCCACTTCTTATCCCGTTGATTGTCCATTTTGAAATAGGATCCCTGAACCCGAAAACTAAAGCCCTATACCCTGAATCCCTAACGCCTTGAACCCTAAATGCCCAAACCTTAAAGCCCTAAATCCCTGAAACCCTAAATCCCGAAATCCCTCCGTAGATCCCCAAAAACGGGCTTCAAGAATTCCATGAGTCCCCTGCATTACATCCTTCCTAACCCGAAAACTTGTCCTGAGCGCAGTCAGCCCATACAAGCCCCTACATAGTTGAGGGTTTAGGGTTTAAGGTTCAGGGATTTTGGGTTGAGGGTTTAGGGATTGAGGGGTTCTATAAGGGTTATACAGGGATAATGGAAAACAACATGGAAACTACAGGGTTAAGGGTTGATGGTTTGGGGTTTAGGGTAGACGGTTTGGGGTTGAGGTAGAAGTAGTTGTTGGTTTAGGGTTGAGGGTTTTGGTTCTAGGGTTGAGGGTTTAGGTTGTCGGGTTTTGGGTTTATGAGAGTCATCGTCAGGGGATTTGGGTAACCTTACAATAGTCGCAGCATAGTTATGGGGTCCAATTTAGGGGTGGCGGTTTCCAAGCCACTCTTTAAATGTTATGAAAGCGTTGTAGTTTTTGCGCATCCTTAAGACTAGTCTCCCACCCCCAGCCCCCCCCGCGCCCACATATTTAGGATGAACGAGAAGATTTCTTTGGACCCTAAACGCTCAACCGTCAGCCCCAACCCCTCAACCCTAAATCAAAGCTTCAATGAACTTTTTCACATCCTACACCCTGTATCCTACACCCTTGAATCTTACGTGCCCCTTAGGGGATCTATGGTCCCCCTTATATTAAGTAGATAGAATATTCGGGGTAATATGGGATCTTATGGTAATATGCCCAAAGCCATATTCTATCTACTTAAGGGGGACTATAGACTCCAAACCTTACAACCTAAACCCCAAACCCTAAGCCCTAAACCCTGCACCCTAAGCCCTAAACCCTACTAAACCCTAAGCCCTAAACCCTACACCCTAAGCCCTAGGTTGACGGGGCCGGGAGTTCCTAAAGACTAAGTTGGCTCCTCGAAAGGGCACAGGGTACAACTAATGTTGAAGCTGCCAGGTTAGGGTTTAGGGTTTAGGGTCCTCATAACCCCTACATATGATAGTTTAAAACCCCCCCAAATCCTCATTCTAGTGCACTGGCTCCAAGCCCTACCGTCGCATAAGCCCCGGCATAGGCCCAATGTCTTTTCATGTTCCAACCCTCTTTGCCATTTGACTCCGTTGTTCAAAGGACTTAGGCCCCTCAACGCTAAACTCAAAACCCCAATACCCCAGACCCTAAAACCCAAACCCTCAATAGTATTTTCCATGTTCTTTTCCATTATCCCCTATATAACCCCTACATAATCCCCGTAAATAGCCCCAACAGAGCCCCTATAGAATCCCCATAATCCCTATAGTTTCCATTTTATTTTCCATTATCCAATATAGCCTATATAACCCCTAAATCCCCCTTAGTAACCCAGGAGCTTTTGAGCTCCTCTGAACATGGCTGACAGTCTTTATTGGTGGCTGGTTAGGGTTTGGGGCCTACTGGGGGTTTAGGATTTAAGGGTTTAAGGGTTTAGGGCTTATTGGTGGCTGGTAAGGATTGAAGGAATGGAGAAGCAGATGGAAACGGCCATAGGCTCTTGCAAGGGTCCCTTTACAGGGTCTACAGGGATACATGCGGTTAAGGGTTTCTGGCTTAGGGCAGGAAATGGCAGGAATGGAAAAGGACATGGAAACAGCTCAAGTAGTCACGGTTTAGGGCTTGGGTTCGTAGAGAACGGAGGAACTGATCCTAAACCCTTAACCCCAAACCCTACCTTGGAACGCTTTCCTTCATTCCTGATTCGTCTCCTACAACCCGAAACCCTAAACCCAAACCCTGAATAGTAGTTTCCATTTTCTTTTCCATTGTCCCCTATAGAACCCCTATTATATAACCCTTAAATCCCCCTTAGTAACCCAGGAGGAAACCCTAAACCCGTAGAAAAGGTCCTGCAATGGCTTTTTCAGCTTCCACGGTGGGGCTGGGCTGCATGGCTTCTTTTCAGGTGAAAGTGGGCCATGGTCAACGACAAGGTTTAGGGTTGCGGGTTTAGGGTCTAGGGATACCAAGGGAAACGCCAAACCCTAAGCCATCAAGGGCTCAGAGCCTAGGGGGTTGAGTCTTTTTTGTTAAAGGGGTGGTTTGTGGCGGGTGAGACCCTGCACCCTAAACCCTACGGAGATTATGGGGGCCAATCTTAAATCTAAGCCTTAAATCCCGTGAAAGCCCATCCCCTAACCCTAAACTTTGTAAAGCGTAAGTTAAAATTCTAAACTCCTAGGCCGTAAGCTCTAAGCACTCAAGCCCCGTAGGTAGGGAAACGCCCGAGTTATGACCAGGTATATAATATCCTATGGTCCTTGATATCGACTATATACTATAGATTGCAATATGTCCTAACATGATGACCTAGTAGAGCCCAAACCCAAAACTTTAAACCTTAAACCCTAAACCCTAGACCCTAAACCCTAAACCCAAAACCCTAAATCACCGTAGCAGAGGCCAAACCCTCCACCCCTAATCAAGGGCTGTTTCCGTGCCAGCGAGATGAGTCAGGTCTTAGGGTAAAACGCCCTAGGGTTTAGGGTTTGGGGTTTAGTCACGCAATTTTGTAACAAAAGAGTTCGGTCAGGGAGTTAGGGTTTAGGGTTCACGGATCCTACACTAAATTCAAACCTTAAACTCCTTAGGGTTTAGGGCTCAGGGTTCCCTACCTCTTAGAGGTTGGTCAAAGCGGGGGGGAGTTAAGCCCTAAACCATAGATTCGCTGCTGCCCTGGGGCTCTAAGTCTACAGATTGTGATTTCTCAGCAGTTGGGGTGCCTTTAAGGAGGTTGTAGGGGTGATATGTTTACGGATTCACGAAAGTAGGGGTGCTGTTTGGGGTCCCTATCATAGGGATTATAGTATTTTGGGGGCTATATTCGGGTCCCTTACCTTAAACCCCAAACCCTTAACCATTGTTTAGGGAATCTACCTGGTGAGCCAGGTCTTGCCCTGCCCCAGTATTTGCTGGGTACAACAGGTAGGTTTTTCGGGCAAGTATCCAAGTAGTACCGAGCGCAAACCCTGAAAATGGGCTACCCTACATTCCAAACCCTAAACCCTATAAACCCTAAACCCTAAGCCGAACCCTAAACCCCACTTGGGGTTAGTTGGAGCTCTGAAAGAGGCCTTGTCGCAATAGGCATCTAAGGCCACACGGTTCAGGGTTTGCTCTTCGCCCAGAGGACCTTCGATTTTGACTCCATGACATACATCTTTATATCAGCTAGAGTCTAAACTCCTTAAAGGGGGATATATGGGGCATTATATAGGGAACTACTACAGGGCTTATTAAGGGGGATACTAGGAGTTTAGACTATGGCTCATATCAGCTGCTGTCAATATTTGGTTTTACCAAGGGACCATGAAGGGTGGACATGCGGATCCCTTTTGTAGTTTAAAACAATTCCCTAGTCCCTAATGGGTGCCCTAATAAGGAACCCGTGTCCTGTACTTATATGAAAGCTTAAACCCTAAACCCTAAGCCCTAAAGCGGAATGTCTTTGGGGTTTTCACGTCGAGATGGTAGTAAACTCCAGTATGGACCACCCAAACAGTATAATCCTGATTTTAGGGACTCCCAAAACAGTACCCCTACATTTGGGGAATCCTAACCCTTACATCCCCCTATATAACCTCTATATAACTTTAAGAAACCTCTAAAACCCCTTCAAAAGTACCCGTAATTTGGGGAAATCCGGCTCTTTTGATCTGGCAGACTAGGTAGCGAAAATGCCATCCACAACTCAAACTTTGCATGTCAGGGTTTCCCGGTAAGCTTGTTGTTTGGGTTTAGGGTTTGGGGTTTAGGGTCCGAGGTTCATAAAACTAGCATGTACCCAGCACTTGGGTCCTTGGCTACTGGGGGCTTTTAGATGTGATTGTTGGAAGGAAAGCCAAGTTGAAACCCTACCCGTAAATGTTCGGATTAGCTCTTCATACTTTAATCCTTTGCCCTTGACGCTGGTTCCCCAAACCCTAAGCCTGTTTACCCTAAATCTCAGAACCTCGACTGCTCTGTAGACTTAGTCCTTAAGCCTCTACTGCTACTCTAGATGCTTGACTTTAAAAGCCCTGACCTTGAAGCACTTTTGTAGGCCCCATTTCTGAAGCTTCCTCATACCCTAAACCCTAAACCCCAGGGTTTAGGGTTTAGGGCTGCATGCCAAGCCTGAAGCCAAAAGCACTTCCCGCAAAAACCTCCCCCCCAAAAAGTACCCCTAAGTTTGGGAAAGCCTAAACCTTGAATTAGGGTTTAGGGATTACCTGAACCCCAATTATAAACGCTATATACCCCCTTTAAAAGTACCCTAACCCTATAGCCCTCGGCCCTAAACCCTAAACCCTATAACCCCGTTCAAAGATACCCTAAACCCTAAACCCTAAACCCCTAAACCCTAAACTCCCTAAACCCTACACCCTACAACCCCATTTAAAGATACCCCTAGCTTGGAGCCAAGGCACTTCCCTGAGCATGTTCCGGAGCTTTTGACATCTCTGCTTCACTTGGAGACTTGATCAAATGAGGTGGGTTAATAGTACCCTGAACCCCAAACCCTAAAGCCTAAACCCTAAACCCCAACCCCCAAACCCTAAACCCCAAAGCCTAAACCCTAAACCCCAAACCCTGAAACCTAAACCCCAAACCCTGAAACCTAAACCCCAAACCCTAATCAAACCTTAAACCCTAAACTCAAGCTGGTAGGAGGCCTTTCCAGGTTGTCACGTACGCGAATACGCTTTACCTCTGGGTCGTGCGTGTTGCAAGTGACAGCAACGCGGCGTAAGGTGTAGGGTTTAGGACTTACATGCACACAGGTCTTTCTGAAGTGTGTATGGTTTGTTGTGAAGAATCGGCCCTCGAAATATGACCCCTGCTCAGTACGGACCCAACACAGCCACTTCAAAGTACAAACGCTGAAGCCGTAATCCCAAAACAACGAAGGCTTAAACCCCAAACCCCAAAGCCCTGACCGATAACCTCTTACACCAACCATACGAAGGAGAACCTGGAAATTTTGGATCTCCACTTGAATGACAAGGCTGGTGTGTGTCTTACGAGGATTCAGGGTTTTTGGGTTGAGGTGTTCCTGAACCGTAAGTACCAAGCAAAGTGGGTGAGATGCTGGGGTTTGTAGGCGTTCACAAGGTAACCCTGAACCATCAACCCTACACCCCTAAAGCCTAGACCCCTAAATCCTTCACCCTAAGCCCCTAGACCCCTAAACCTCAAATCCTAAACCTCAACCCCCTAAATCCTAAACCCTAAACCCCCTAAATCCTAAACCCTAACCCCCCTAAATCCTAAACCCTAAATCCCCTAAATCCTAAGCCCTAAGTCTTTAGGGTCTTCAGACGGGAAGAAGGTCCAGGACTAGGTTGCTGGGCTGAGGGCTTGAGTGTGCGTGGCTTAGGGTTTGGGGTTTTAGGATGTTAGGGTTTAGGGTTTAGTATTTTAGGCTTAGGGAAACGAACAGTCCCTTACAAAGGTAAGGGTGTGTCTGTTGCGGCGTATTCCCCAAAACCCTAACCCCCCCAAAACCCGGAACCCTAAGCCCTAAACACTAAACCCCCAAACACCTACACCCCCAACCCCTAAACCCCGAAACCCTAATCCCTAAACCCTCGAATTCCCATCCTCCAGCCCCCTAAACCCTAATTAAAACCCTAAACCCTCAATTTTAAGAAGCCCCAAATTAGGTACACCACCCGTGCCAGGCTTTCGTTCGGAGCTTTAGCAAGGAGAAGGAGTTGGCCGCGGCCTACCATCTTCAACAGCTGCTGTCCAAGCTGAGGCAGGACGCTTACAGGGTTTAGGTTAAAGGATTCAGGATTAGGGTTTGGGGTTTAAAGTTTAGGATTTAGGGTTTAGGATTTAGGAGCATAAGTACTCCTCCTGTTTAATAGTCGTAATAATACTAATAACCATAGCGATAATAGACATGGTAGTATAGTCATAGTAATATAGAAATGGTAATCGCGCAGGGTTTTAGGGATGTAGGGGCAGGGGATTTAGGACTTCTATGGCGCTAGGAAGATGCAGAATGATATGGGAAATCAATTGGTACGTGAAGTGGACATTGGGTTATATAAGTTATATAGGGATAAGGGATGGAAAAGAAAACGGAAGCTACTATAGTATACTGGGGTTATATAGGGGTAATGGAAAAAGAACATGGACAGTACTAGTTAAGGGTTCGGGGTATAGGGTGAACTTGCCCGAAGAATACAATCAAACTCTATCATCCACAACCCTAAACCCTAAACCCCTAAACCCTAAACCCTAAACCCTAAACATCCCTAAACCCTAAAACCCTAAACCCTAAACCCTAAACCCTAAAACCCTAAACCAGGGTGTCAGGGAAGGTATAGGTTGGGGTCATAGTCATCTGTTTGTTAGGGATGGGTTTTAGGTTTAAAGGCTTACGGGGTGTGGGTTTGGGGTTGTAGGGTTTAGGGTCGTAGGGCTTGGGGGTGTGGGGGTGTAGGGTTTTGAGGTTATGAAGATTGAGGGTGTATAGGTTGTAGACTTTTACAGGTTTGGGCTTTGTAGGGTTTAGGGGTTTAGTGTTGTGGGGGTTCGAGGTTGCAGGTTTGTAGGCTTTTTTGGATTATAGGTTTGAGCTGAAGGGATGTTGGGTGCTAGGGGTGTAAGGGTTTGGGGTTGTAGTGCTCAAGGTTCAAACTGTAAAGCTTTAGGGGCTCGATTTTCAGGGTTTAGGACTTTGGTTTAGGGCTTCAGGGCCCTCATACCTGCAGCTCCCCCCAACCCAGTCTATCTTGTGTCAGGGTTCAGGCAAGGTTTAGGGTTTAGGGCCAGTTTAGGGTTTAGGCTCCGGTGTCGGGTTTCCTGTTAGCAGCTTCTGTCAGGTTTTTAGGGTTCTGGATGTAGTCCCCTAGATGATCCCTTCTACCGGTCAGAAGATTTCGGGTTCTTGGTTTAAGTCACTATAGCCTTAGACCCTCAACTTAGATCAGGATTTCCCATGGAAGAGACTGAGCCCTAAACTATTCCATCCCAGGCCCTAACCCTGACGGAGTGTTTAGGGTTTAGGGTTAAGGGGGGCCCCTCAATTGGAGGAGGGTTGGGGGGTATGTGATCAAAGGGGTACAAGGTGTAGCCTAGAAGCCTGAATAATCAGGAACCATGGAGAATCAAATGATATTTTCAAATGATCTCTAGGATTTTCCATAGGGTGTTGAATGTAGGAAGCCCGAATGATCAGATAGAGAAATTATTCTCAGCAGTCTTTCTCGCCTTAAACCCCAAGCCACTAATTATTCAAGCCCCTACATTTGCTATTTTGTGGGAATACCATATTTGCAATACTGCCCACCGAGTGTAGGTAAGTGCATTCCTCTATTTGGAGAAGGGGGGAAGGCTCAGGTGCTAACGTTAAACCCTCAGTCTGAAATCCTTCAACCCTCAACCCTAGACCCTAAACTCTAAATAGTAGCTTCCATATTCTTTCCATTATCCCTATGCAAACCCCTATATTACCCCTATAACCCCCTTTTCGAGCTCAGGTCTTTGAAGCAGCTGATCTTCTTCGAGAATGACGTCGTGCTAAGTATCTAGCTTTCCCATGCCTAAGCAACAGGGGGTCAGGCTTAGTGTTTAAGTGCAGGGTTCAGTGTTTAGGATATATAGGGGCTGTATAGGGGTCATACATTGGTTATATAGGGTTTAGGGTTTAAGGGTGGATTCCTAAGAAGGCACCCCCAATTTTGGGAAGCCCTTACGTGTTGCGGTGGGGTTTAAGGGTTTCAGGGTTCCGAGTCTAGGGTTTTCGGGTCTAGGGTTCAGTGTTGAGATTCGCTTTAGCAATATGAGCCTGCATGAGAATTAGCCTATTTGTTAAGCACTAAAGGTGGTTGTTCCATGAGTGCAAAGATGTTAAAACGGCTGCAAAGAAATACGGGGCACCCTACAAAAACAGATACCCAGAACGATATCCCCGAAACCTCAAGATGATACGTGGCACCCTGCATGAAGTCAACCATTTCCACAAAACAGTAACATTGACGCCTGGCAGTTTCCATGAATCAGGGACCCATAAACGGTCCCCAGCACATTATCATCCTCGTCATCTGGACCCACCCCCCTAAAAGGACCGGGGGTCGCCAAAATCTTATGGACCCCAACATCTACCAATCCTGAGTATATGGTCCACTGCACAAGGACCCCTAAGCTTCAGAAGCCTGATATAGAACTGAAACCCGAAACAGAACCTACGATCCTCGTTTCAAGGACTCCCCAAAAACGACCCCTAACTTGCGTAGTTTTTGTTGGAGAGTGTGTCGGCGTGGGGGCCTGCTTTTCTCAGCTGAAAACAGGTGTTTATTTTGATATGTTCAATGATTTTCTACTCACATTGGGTAGGCTTCCTCATTCAAACTCTTTGTTTAGAAGACGTAACTAGATGGCTAAGATTCAAGGCTGCGCCAACCCCGAACACCAAACCCTGAACGCGAAACCCTGAACGCGAAACCCTGAACGCAAACCCCAAACCTGAAACACTACACCCTAAACCCTAAACCCTAGATTGGCATGTATCCAAAAACCTCTGGTTCTCATGCTCAGAACATGCATATAATATTCTAGTAACAGGACTAGTGTAGTAGGTATATATGTGATAGTCATTTTTAGGGGAAGGCCTCCCCCTAATGAGATCAACATATTCCATCGCATAGTCCTATCCATACAGTCGGCTGTGATGCCATTGTTTGCGTGTTGGGGAGGTCTCTGACAGTACAATGAATACAAGTAATAGAAAGGGTACATGCATACATGCATTGTTAGATGAGTTCTGCCATGCTATCAATTCAAGTCTTGCGTTTGGCCCGATCCTTTGGGTCAAGTGCATGAGGTATGTTCGGTGTTGCTTTGGTTGGTATTGGGGACGTTGCCGCCGGTACAATATTTAGGAGGAAAGGTACATACATATGATGTTAGATAAGTTCAGCTAAGCTATCAGTACAGTTCGGGCTTTTATCCCGACCCTTTTGGCTAGGTACACAACGTATGTTAGGGAACGTCCCCCTAGATAGATTTACTTTCAGTGCCTTTACTTGTGTTCGTACATATACTGATTACAATTTATACACATGAAATTCTTTATGCAGTTAGCATACCATTTGCCTTGAGTATGCTGGGAAAGGGTTCCCCAACGCAGGAAGCGCGATGACTATCATGAGTGCATATGATACTCATGATTTTGCGAAATGCCTTCCACAAAGAAATCAATGAAGTTGAATCGACTATCTATATCCATACAGGGAGTTGTGGACATAATTGACTGCTACCTGAGGCTCGAATACCGGTATTTCTACGAGAACACCATGCAGGCGCACTCGGAGGTAGACATCGCCGACTTTCAGGCCAGGCTCCGCGTTTTTTGAATCCACCTACTACGAGAATGCGCACGGTTTCCAGATCAAGTTGTGCTTCCTCCATGCAGCGTTCAAAAGGGCTTGCACCTCGAAGATACTCTTCCTTGTTGGCAGCGGTGGTGAGATGGAGGCAGTGCTTGACCGTGCCTTGTTCGGTGAATCCGGTAGCTCCACATTGGACTGTGGCGTCTTCTTGGATCGCTCTGAATTCCGCAGGCGAACTTTCGTGGAACAAGTCAAATATCCGTATCCAGGAAATGGACCACCACGCCAGATTCATTGTTGACCTGTGGAAGAGATTTGTAGTCGACGAAGAGGTCGACTGTAGGGTGAACTAAAGGTTCACAAGCAAGCGCAGGTTCGGCGTTAGCATGAAGATCCAAGAGCTCAATTATGAGAACATACCTGTCATTGAGGAATGCGGGGACAGACGCCGAAAGTGCTGCGAGCAGCTGAGGCGTCGCGTGGTCTGCGTCCGCATGGGCAAGGGGGTCTTCACGTCGGACAGCAGTCTTGTGGATCCTGATAAGGGCATCTTCCGGCTCATTCCTCAGGACGAGCTGACGGAGCTTCGCCTCTAGTAATCCTCTCATACCTACCTGTCTATTACCATTCTAGAGCAGACAGGTATAAATTAGTGCGTTCTCGAAAATGCTAAAAACTGGGGCCCCCAGGGCGACGCTTTCTGCTCTATTAAGATTCCAGCGTGCCATAGTCCCAAGAAGGCTGCTTTTTGTGCACGAAATATAGATGCCGGTAAATGTTAACCCTTAGACCCTAAACGCCCACCCCTATGTGTCCATTGCCTCGTTGCGGCATGCCCGTGTTGCCGGGCGTGGCCAAATCAAAGCAGATATCGACGTGCTGCAGCTGGGTTTGGGGCTTAGGGTTTAAGGTGTATAGTCCCCCCCTACGTAGATAGAATATGGGGTATATGGGGATCTTATTATAATCTACCCAAAGCCAGGTTCTATCTACTTGTGGGGGACTATAGGGTCTAGGGTGTAGGGGGAGGTGGTCCCGACATTATGGACTTGTTGGGGATTCTCGCAAAGGACAATGCCAGCAAAGTGGTGTATTGCCCAGGAGGCCCCTTTGACAGAAACTGCCACCCTAAGATCTAGAAATTAAAACCCTAAACCTTAAACGCCTTAAACCCTAAAATGACGGCTAGATGCCATTGTTGTTGTTTTTTAAGCGATCTCCAGAAGCTCATTCGTTGCTAACGGCAAGCTCATCGACATTCTACGCCCCCAAGGCGTTGACCCAGGGCTTACTTACTGGTGGTAAGTATGGAATGGTGGAATCCATCCCTACAGCAATGCCTATATGGTGCCCTTTGGCACTACCACACAGAGTATGGTCGCTAACCTGAGGCCCTAGACCCAACACGCTAGACCAAAAAACCAAGCCAATAACCTCTAAACCTTAAGCCCTAAGCCCTAAATCCTAACCCCTAAATCCTAAATCTTGAGCCCTAGGGGCCTAAACCTTAAATCCTCAACGCTAAACCTAAATTGAGGATCTTCAAGCCTGCACCCTAAAGCTCTGAAGCGTCCATCAGAGACCTCCCCAGCATCCTAGAAATCATCTGAACCCTCATCCCTCCTCCCTCAGCCTTCTATGCTAAAAGGGGGTTATAGGGGTAATATCGGGGTTACATAGGGATAATGGAAAAGAAAATGGAAGCTATTACTGAGGGGTTTAGGATCTAGGGTTTTGGGTGTGGGGTCTGGGGTTTAGGACTCAGGGTTTGGGGTTTAGGTTTTACATCTCATAAACCCTCTTCCCCAAACGTTATATTACATGAGCTATAGTCCAAACTCCTTAAAGGGGGGTTATATAGATAATAATGTAGGGGAGTATCATGGGGGTCATTAAGGGGATATTGGGAGTTTTGACTATAG